GTCGTTAGTGGGGGTACCATTGTTCATAGTCGAATTGGTCATAGAAAGGTCGTTAGTCGTCCCCCCTCCTTGAGGAGGAGAAGGGGTAGCCGGGGAGTCATTCATTCTGGGTATCGGACCAGGTCCGACCCCTTGTCTCACAATTGTTGTCCTGAAGGGATCAAAAACTCTTAACTTTTGGTATCAACCTAACAGCAATAGCTAAGAGAGTAAGGCAGTTAAACGTCCTCTACCCCCTCAGTGGAAGCCTGGTTGCGTTCTCCAGTACCACAGAGGGATCGAGTTATGTGTGGGACACCTCCTTACCGCCGAACTTGCCTAGGCGAAGGACGGTAATTCAGTGCCCACCCCCCAAGCGAATACGGGAGCCCACAAGGGTACTCCGGTAGGCTCAGGGAAGTCACATTATGAGGAAAAGAATTTAGAAAATAAGAAAAAGTGCGCCCAAATGACGCCCCAGACTACTGGGCCTCCCTACCCAGGGGTCAAAGCCACAAGGGCTACCCTGGTGTAGAAGAGAGCTGCGGGTCTGAGGTGGGGTGCTGGCTAGGCCTACTGCCTCGTGCCACCTGCAAAAGCAAGAGCACTGAAGGTGCTGGCAAAGTTCTCTTTCTGTAAATACAGGATTTACTTTACTTCGATTACTTTAAATAACTCAGGAACAACAATGTCAAGCGAGACAAGAGGCCCCGGGCTCCAGGGTAGCTCAAGTGGCACAAGACTTTGTATTTGTTGCTACTGCGTTAGAAAGGTGTTGTCTCGTCAAGAGTTCAAACACGAGTGATGTGAATTGGTCAGTGTAAGGCACCTCTATTTATTACCTTCGTCAGCCAATCAGAATGCGCCATTTCACTTTTTCCCGCGCTTTACACAGTAAGGTAGAACTACCCTTTTACTCGTTCCCTCGTTCAACTACTGTTGCCCTGTCTGCACTTGTTTGCGGTGTTTCTTCTCTTTCCTTTCCCTGTATTTATTTATTTTTTCTTTCAGATATGTTGCCCTTTGTTACCTTTCATTGTTTCGTGTTATTTTTTTTATTTATTTATTTTTTTTTTCTTTTTTTTCTTTTTTTCGAACGTTCGTTCAATTTGCACATCTATGTCACACTCTCAACCTCTACCCACTCCCGCAATACTCGCAAGTACACGTACGTACATGTAATCACATACGTATGCTCACGTACACAAACACACGCACAAGCGCATACACATGCACACAAACAGACACACAAACACGCACGCACGCACACTCTTCCACTCAATCGCTCGTCGACTCGAATTACCGATCAGACACGTTTGTATACGGGCACGCACACGCACACGCACTCAACGCACGCACGCACGCACGCACGCACACACACACACACACATACACACACACATACATATATATCTGTATATATGAGTATATCTATATGTCTATATCTATGTTTATCTACGTATGCATATGTATATATATATATATATATATATATATATATAAGTATATGTATATACAAGCGACGACTCGCATATTTCGCGAGTCGCGGCCCGTTTACACACGTATTTTTTTAGACGCTAACTTCGATAGCCCGAGAAGCCTTTATGAAATGCATAGTATAGGAAAAACGAGAAAAAGTGTTAAAGACTACATAATAATAGTGATGATAATAATAATGATAACAATGATAAAGATAAAAATAATAATAATAATACTATTATTATCATGACTATTATTGATATTATTATTGTTATTATTATTATTAGTAGTAGTAGTAGTACTAATGCTATTAGAATTATATTTTTATATAATAATAATATTTAAAAGGATAACAATATAGACAATATTTTTAATAATAATGAAAATGATGATTATGATGATAACAAAAATAATAACAGTAACAGTGATACAAAATTATAATAATATGAAGAATAATCATAATAATAATAACAATAATGATAATAAAAATAACAAAACAACAACAACAACAACAACAACAACAACAACAACAATAATAATAATAATAATAACAACAATAATGATTATAATAATAATAATAACAATAACAGGAATGATGAAAACTACCAGTGTAATCTATGACGGCGAAAACGGTTGCATCCTTTAAATTGTCAGAGATTTGAATACTATTTGAATATTACATATCCCGTTTTGTAAAACTATACATATCCTATTTGACTAACCATTGATATGTGTTTCGGAACACAGTGGAGCAATCTAGAATATTTTGTATTCAAGTACGCAAGGCCAAAAATCAATATTATATGTCTACTTCACGTCACTCATCCATCCATTTGCTTTCTGCCGCTGTATAGTAATGGATTTTCTCGAAAAATTCTTAGCGTCACGAGGCTCCCCTGTGGAATAGATTGGATGGTTGCCGGAGCGACGGGACTGGAGAGGCCCTAAAGTGTTGCTTTGAGACCCTGCACGTGGCTCACATATTAGATGTGTTTTAGCCGGCTTCGTTTAGGGATTTTAAAATGCACTAAAATACCTTCAGGAATGTTCTGCAAGTGTAGTTGTTGCCTTTCCGACACGATCAGCGCATCTTTGAAGTTTAAAAAAGGAGGTGTAAAAACTGAGAAAACATCTATGTGCATGAAGTTTGTATGTATATAAGATTACGCACATGCACGCGCGCGCGCGCGCGCACACACACACATTTTTTTATTATTTACGACATGTACATCCACTAAAATTATCTTTCCTCATTTCGTTGTTATAAACCAATTAGTATTAGAAAGGGTAAACACATTTCTTTAGAGAGACATGTTAGCATTATTTAAATTGAAAGGATTCAAGTGATACGTAGTCTAAATAATATTTCAAATAGTTTTACATTCTAATCTAGTATGACGTAATAATACTTACGGTATTGTAAATCAGTGCCTTGTACACTAACAGAAGTTTTCCTCAATGAAAACTCTAAATTGTAACATTTTGTACAATTTCCTCGGGATTCCCAAATAGGAAATATAAAATATCCCGCGTTCCAGGCTAAACGAGAGTGAAAAACATCATTAAAGACAAAACTATCATCAAAACGATTGATGGATAACTACAATATCTTCAAGTTGATGTATACATATAAGCAAAAGGCGGAAGAGGCCCTAAGGTAATTCATTTTAAGAGAGCCCAAAATTGTTTCATTTTACTGTTGCTCACGGTTTTGCTGCCATCGTTACTGTTATGATTATTTTTCTAGTTACCATTACCTCATCACCATCATCATCTTCGGCATTGTCATCATTATCATGATCGTCATCATTATTATCATTATTATATTATCATTATTATCATAATTATTATTATTATTGTTGTTATTGATATCATTGTTACTATGAATTATCGTTAATATAATTATTATGGAAATGATAATAATTATGATGGTGAAGATTTATTATAATCATTGCGATTATTATTATTATTATTATTATTGTTATTATTATTATTATTATTATCATCACTATTATTATTATCATCATCACTCTTAGTAATGATAATAATAATTGTAATAATATCAGATATTCAAGGTATATGTAACAACATGTAACTGCTTTAATATAACCTATAATTGAAAAGGAATAATAAATAGAGAACATATAAACAGGCTTATCGGAAAGTTAACAAATTCAGTCTGTGAACTGGCAAAGGCTAGTTCCGTTTTGCCGTGATGGGTTAGTATTTGTGAAGAGAATTGAAAATACACCCACAAAGGGGCTCTTTTTGCTGTATTGTGTTGTACTACTCTATTGATCAGGGAAGGCGAAGTGGGTTGCATTATTTTTTATGGGATCTTTGGTAAGCATGAGTATACACACACACACACGTGTGTGTGTGTGTGTGTGTGTGTGTGTGTGTGTGTGTGTGTGTGTGTGTGTGTGTACATAGACAGATACACGTAGAATAGAAATAGAAAGATGTAAAGACAATTAAAGTTTTTTGTAGGATCTTCAAAGCCCCTAACACTTTGATACTTCTTCAAACACGTTTACTCTTTACGCGCATGTTATTCGAATCTGTTAAAACATTTTGGTTTTGTTTAGCCTCAAGGCAAATACAAGGTGGCAATCCGGCCGGGCATTCCATATATTACACACACTTGTCAGTTAAGGATTTATAGTTTCATTTATTAAGAGTCGCATCATATATTTCTAAATACAGAATCCACTTCTAAAGATGCACAGAATGTTTTCATCATTATCATTATTATTATCATCTTCGTCATCATTATTATAATTCTTACTCTGAAACGACGGAATAATAATTTCTGAGTCGCATGATGTAGTGCTGACTTCGCTGGGATGAATATCTTCAGAATCATTCTGTTGTAATCTGCCAGACTCAAAAATACAAAAAATAACTCGATACATTACGGGCACAAACCAAAGAAATGCCTGTGATCATTGGCATTATTATGTGTGAGATTCGGTGGATACGGACTTGCAAAACTTCAAGCAACATATCATATAAAAAACAGTGGATGTTCAAAAAAGAAGAAACAAACAGAAAAGAAAACAAAAGAGTTCTATAAATCTGATAAATACGTTTGAATGTTTCCACAAAGCTTGCAAAGGACATGTGGTGTGTAAATCAACAATAGGAGTCGCAGAGATGTCAATTACTTCTAATAAAAAATCATGGCAGCTCATCGTGTATTTTAATGTGTTTCTATTGTTTTTCTTCTCCTTTGTTAATATGAAATAAAGGAAAACCTTTGAGAATCAGAACAAGGTTCTGATACGTAAAATCAATGCATCAATGAGTTCGGGGTTTCGGAATACTACAAAAAAGCCTATGGATAGATAGCCACACACACATGTATATTCGAGGTAGTTTGCAAAAAAGGCTTTTGAATTCCCGCGAATTTGTCGATACCAATTGCTGTCGAGATAATCAATTATATTCACACACATTACTGTTTTCAACTCATTATACATAATCAGGTTATTTGGTTCTAGTAACCGTCGCTTGTTCTATTGTCCATAATAAAGCAATACATTTGACAGGGACATTTTTTCTCACACCGTCTCTCGATGCCACTGGCTGATGCATCTAATACCAAGAGAGCATTACCAAATTTTAGCAGCGCAGCCATTGTATGTTACCAAATTATGTGCAGCAAAAAAGAAAACCGCACAATTGCCAGTTACTACCGGCTGAATAACTTTAACAGCTCTCTTGCTTTATAAACACCCTATATGAGTGAACTGTTAACTTATACATATGCCGCTTGTAATTATCATAATGCAAACTCATATCCAATATTATTGATTATATTGTAAAACTAAAATTCTCTAAGTACTAGAAAAAGTATGTAGCCGGTTGTCGAGATCTAAGCGTTTTAATTAAATGTTGTTGGATAAAAGTTCCCGTAACAAAGAACTGTATTTTGATTATCTGATTAATTGTCTCTGATGTCGTTCTTGTCACACTCAGTCGCGTCTTCTGCTCGGTGCTTTGCCTTCCGAAGTCATTTGCTGATTGGCAACGACGCTAATTGAGGCGCAGGGAATTAGTTTTCATATCTAATCTATCAATCACACACACACACACGCACGCACGTACTCACATACACACACACACACACACACACACATACACACACACACACACACACACACACACACACACACACACACACACACGCACGCACGCACGCACACACACACGCACACACGCACGCACACACACATATATATATTCTCTTCATTTTTCAACATCCATGTTATATAGTCCAGTGTGTATTTGCTTTGTGTTTCCTTCATATTCATCATTTGCATTTTATTGCATTTTGTTTTACAATTTGCCGAATTCACAGTTGAAATCCTTGTTATGTGCTCGTGAAAATTTTGGTCGTTTTCTTCTCGGCTTTTTCAGAATCCACGAATGCAACAGACCACTTTCCTTTATGCTAAGAGGAAAGCAGTACGAGAATTGTAAACATGACTGTATGAATATGAATGTTATTTTATCTATGGGTTATTTTGAAACAAATAAGTGAAAACCATATCCTGAGGTCAAATTCTGTCAAGAAAATTACCTTCACAAGCCTATTAGACCAAACGACTCATCAGCTAAATACGGCCTTGTCATGGGGGAAAATATTTAAGAGCAGACGTTGCAATATTTCGTAAACCAACAAAGAATGTGTAAAGCAACATCTATTATCTCTTTATAAAAAAAAAGAATAAATAAATAAGAGAGAGAGAGAGAGATGGGGGGGGGGGGGAACTGGATCGCTGTTCCCATTTCGTGGTAAACATTATTTCCACGTTGACTCTTCATATCTTTCCGTTGTTTTGGGTAGGCTTATCATTTTCAGCGAACATTAAATAGTTAAACTGTTTATCTTTAATTACAATGACTTACTCCTCTTAGAAATGCAATTACTCAAAAACAAGTATCAAGATCATGCTCATGTTTACAGACACAATGGCGGGAGGAGAGTTGAAACGCCTCTCTGTATAATTGTAACTCTAAGCAATCCTGCCTTTTTATGCTGGATTGAAAAGCTTTTCCATCAGATATGCAGAGAAGGAGACGCACAAAGGAAAAGGGGAAGAGAAAAAATCGAGGAAAAAGGCAGAACCGGGAAGAGGATAAAATATTTTAATAACAATCTTTCCTTACGGAGTTTTGCGTCCGCCGTGAATGGAGATATATAACAAAACAGGTTTTGTGTCAGGGTTTTACATTTCCTGCAACTCGAAAATAAGGAAGTGTTTTGAAATTACAAACGTTGTAGTCATATTAATCATTAACATTAATATTATGGTGTTGTAAAACGGACGAAGATGAGTATTACTGATTACTGATATTATTATAATTAACGTCATCATCGCCATCATCATTACCGTCACCATCACCTTCACCATCACCTTCATCATCATCACCATCACCATCCTCCTCATCATCATCACCATCATCAGTATCATCACCATCCTCCTCATTCTCATCATCACCATCATTATCATCATCACCTTCACCATCACCATTATCATCATCACCATCCTCATCCTCATCATTATCAATATCATCATCACTACCACCATCGCCATCCTCCTCGTCCTCATTATCATCATCATCCTCATCCTCATCCTCAATCATCCTTATCACCATCATCACCATTATCATCATCATCACCACCACCCTCACCATCCTCCTCCTCCTCATCATCATCATCACCATCCTCATCACCAATATCATTATTCTTATTCTTATTTTTATTATAATTATCATTATTATTTGTAGTAGTAGCAGTAATAGTAATAGTGGTTGTAGTAATAGTAGGCCTAGTAGTACTACTACTACCCAAGTATTATTTTTGTTGTTGTTTTGTAGTTATTCCTAATATTGTGTTTTTTTGTAGTTGTTGTTATTGTTATTATTATTATTATCCTCATCATCATTATAATAATTATTATTATCATTATCACTATTATTATTACTACTACTATTGTCATTATTATTATTATTATTATTATTACTATTATTATCATTATTATTATTATTATTATTACCATTATTAATATTATTATTATTATCATTTTTATCGTTATTATTATTATTATTACTGTAATTATTATTATTATTACTGAAGAATGGTAAAACACTACCGGGTAGAAAAGGCTACTATGCAATTGATTTGAAGAAGAATATTGTTATCGTTATTATTACTATTTTCTTTTACTATCATCATTTTATCATTAGTAGTAGTAGTAGTAGTAGTCGTAGTCTGTTTATTATCACTATTTTGTTTTATTATTATTATTATAATTAATAATGCAATTGAGTCATCAGTATCATTATTATTACTGTTATAACCCTTATCATAACAGTAATATTTATTATTATTATTATTGTTTTGCTGTTGTTTTTCATGTTATTATTATTATTATTGTCATTGTTATTATTATTATAATCATTGTTATTATTATCATTATTGTTACTATTATCATTATAATCTGTCATTATCATCATTAAGTATCATTATTACTACTATTATTATCATAATCATCATCATCGTTATTATCATCATCGCATTATTATTTATTATTACCATCGTCAGCAGCAGCAATATTATTATTATCATTATCATCATTATTCTTAATATCATAACTATTAGTTTTCATTATTATTATTATCATTATTATTACTATTATCAATATCATTATTATTATCATTATTATTACAATTATTCTTATTGCTATCATTATTGTCATTATCATTATTATTATTATTATTATTATTATTATCATTATTATTATTATTATCATTATCATTATTGTCATCTTCATTGTCATTATTTTCATTATTATAATCATCATCATTGTTATTACTATACTATTTGTCATAATCAGTTATAATTGTCATTGTTTTCGTTGTCATTTTCATTAACACATCTTATTCGAAAGCTAAAAACACTAAGCTCGTAAATGAAATAACAACGAAAGCAAACGAGACAAAAAATAAATACCAAACGGAACTATCTAAGACAAAGCAAACCCGAAATTGTGGCGAGTTACAGATAACTCTCTCAGAAAACGTACTCGACAGAGAACACTGCTAACACCAACACTTTGCAAATTCCAACTAGCTGCTCTCTCTCTCTCTCTTTCCACTCAAAACAAGCGAGTTGCCTGCACACCTACCCTTCCGTGAGAGGACACTTTTCAAAGAAGAGCAAGAGCAAAATCTTGCTGTTACAACATCCTTCCCAGATAACGCGAGAGTCTGCCCCTGAGCTCGCCTCCCCCTTTGAGACGTCTCCAATAACTCCATCATTGAGGTCGCTCTTCCATAAAAGCAGTTCCGATCCTCAAAACTAGCAATCTCCTGATGACCTCAGACCCATTCCGCCCGCCCCTGTCTCCGGTAAATCCTCGAAAGTATAATGTCTCAAGAACCGCGAAGTCCTATTCATCTAAATTTGAGCGTTACCACGTCTAACGTAGAAAAGCCGCTGGAGCTGACAAGCGTCACCAACAACCTACGGATGGAGTTCGACCTCATTGGTTGCGTATAATCAATGAAATTAGGGGTTTCATGAGGGCTGTTGAAATCCCATTTATCGACCTCCCTCCATAACACACAGAACTCGAACAAACAGGGAAAGCTCTGGCGAAGTCGAACTTCACTGCGGTGTTCGTCTAAGTTCTGACTTCGGCTCATTATTTTGATTAATGAATGCAAACCTACAAATGAAAATGTATGTGGACGACACTCTGTAATAACATCTGGATACAAAGCGAGAGAACGCGGCACTTTAATACAAAATCTTCTCAGCCATGTGGCTGAATGAGCCACAGCGGGGCGAAAAGCAATTAAGTGTGACAATAAATTCAAAATCAGTAAATTAGACCACTTAATGAAAACTGATAACAACCCCATGAATTTTGCCCCCGAAGTGAAATTGCCGGGTTAGGCTCCCAGTGAAAATCTGATCTGAAATAGCTCACTGACGCTAGCGTTTTCCTGCTCCTGAAAGAGCAGGAAAAAAATTGTGGCCCCAAATGGCTCCCAAACGGAAAGGATTTGGTGCATTCTGGGACAATTTACTATTCGTCCGCCACAGACCGATCAATGAAAATGGTCACAGAAGAGTTCTGCGCGTTATAGTTTAATCTGACTTCATGCCCGGTGCAGTTAATACATTCAACATCGTCGTCAAGACGTTGATGTTCAATTCGATGGACTAAAGCTGACGAATATAACGAATTCTGTCACTAATGATACTGACGATTATGACAACCATAGTAATGATGATACTGAAGATGATGATGGTGGTGATGACGATAATGATGATGATGGTGATGACGATGGCGATGATGATGAAGATAACGATGATGAGGAGGACGATAACGAAGGTGATTTTTATGATGATGATAGTGATAGTGATGGTGATAAGGATGATGATAGTAATAGTAATGATGATATTGATGGTGATTATGAATGATATAATTATCATGATAATGGTGAGGATGGTGATCCTTGAGGATGGTGATCTTTACCATCATTATTGTTGCTATAATTACTGTTGTTATTCTTATTGCTAGGATTAGTAGAATTTTACTGTTACTGGTTTTGTTGTTTGTT